AGGTTGGGGGGGTAATGAGCCGCGTGGTGCGACTCAATACCTTGCAGTAGTGTTATCTGCGATGCTGATGGTGCACGAATCCCGACACACACCAGCGTGAATCGTTTGTGGTGCAGTCGCGCGTGCACCACAGAGGGACAACAGGCGTGCGGCGAGAGCGACGATGATTATACGCACGTGCGGCCACCATTCAAAATTTTGCACATTACATGGGGGTGTTTCTTTCCGTTTTGATGAACATGCACGAAGAAACAAATTGTGAAATCTTCCCGCCGTGCGGACGCAAACAACCACACACGTACGTACATCTGGGCATCTGGAAGAAGCATACATGCGGTATCCCCCTGGCGGCGAGCGTATCACACATACATGAGATCACACCGTCGAGGAACTCGACCAGCAGCGTAGACATAGGATTGTGACATGACAGATGATGGCAATTATACTGTCATACTCATAACTTGCCCGCGACATTCGTCTCAAGCCTTCCGAGTTTCCTGCCCGAGTGAAAGCAAGCAGTCCAGCATGAACCAAAAACAACAAAAATCCGTTTGGACTACATATGATGTCATGACTTTGGCTGCGGCAGCAACAACAGCATCAGGGCACGGCTTTTTTTGCGAAGACAGTCAGTTGCGCGGCGCTAGTACGCAATCTGAACCGATCCCGCGGGGAACAAGGCACACAGCAGCAGCAGTAGTAGACCCTCACCCCCTCGACGGATTTTCTCTCGATGATGGTAAGGTGTGATCTGGACTTGAGAAGGTTTTGTGTGATCATCGGTCTGCTCTTTTGAAGCAGTTGGTTGGACCCACTCAACACCAATAAATACCCGCCAGGTTCCACATGGCGCATGCCTGGAATATACCCACGGTGCACAGGTTGTAAAGGTCCGGCCTCTCCTGGTTTTCATAGCTGGTCTCAGACCACCGTCTCAGCGATGATGCGTTCGTTGGTGGTGTTCTTGCGTCTCTGTCGGTGCTTCTTGTCCTGGTCTGAATCGCGCGCGCCCGCGATCTCCGTTTCTGTGCACGCCTTTTTGCGTAGAAACCCCGGGATTGGGGAGCACAATCTCCTACGAATATAGGCTACATACGCCGGTGAAGCACGGCCATCTGCTCTCGGAGCACGACGAAACCGGTGTGGATAAGAGCGCGCTATTTTTCTTCTTCCTCAGAAGCGAGCAGATCGTCAACAGGTGCCCTGTAGATCTCGTTCTAGTTCCAAAGGTGTGCTAAATAGGCTTCCCGGAAACCAAGTTTTGGGGGGCCTGTATCGCGCGGCGCAACTTCTGCCGATGTATAGAGCCTTGTTTTACCTCCTGAGGACGAAGGGAAAAAATGTCGCTCGCTTCGCTCGCTCCGTGGCTCATTAAAAGTACATTATATCCCCGTCTGTTTTTCACAGGTCAACGGTACATTAAATATGACAGGTAAAATACGCGGGGTGCAGCAAGCCCGTCCTGGGCGTTGCTTGGGGCAGGCACTGGGTAGTCGGCCGTGTTGGGCCGAGAGAGAGAGGTTGAGAGAGAGGTGGAGAGAGAGTGGGAGAAGGAAACTTGATTGGAGAGAGACGGCGGTAGCGGTGGAGGGAGAGAAGCAAGAAGGTGCGTAACACGCACGCAAGCCTCATCGTTCCAACCGCCCCGAAAGGGTCCCCGTGACTGCACCGGTGGTTCCCTACAACACACGAAATGCCCAACACGTATCCCCTTGGGATCCTCACGACGAGATACTGCTGCTAGTATACCTAACATCCCATTGCTCGCACCAGTTTCTCACTGAAAACTTTGCTAACATCCGATATCTCAACAAAAATCGTCTTGCCCAGAACATAAGTCATCAAGACTACTTCCAACCACAAGAAAATGAAAAGAATACCAAGAAACTTGAATGCTGCATCGCGCACAATTAATACCATGCGCGGGAAACAAAACAAAAACAAAGCACAACCCATGAGAAAAACAACAAATGTTCATGTCAAATTCATCACAAAATCACGGTGAGACTCGAAAGTGTCCTTCGGCAAGATCTTCGTAAGAAAACCTGCACACTGGTATGGCGACGGGACGTGGATCACCGAAATTTCCTTCCTCTCTGTCAGTTCCCTGAGAAAATGGTGCCTTACATCCATGTGCTTCGAGTTCCAGTTCGAAATGGGCTTCTGCGCTAGTTGAATCCCCCCCGGTTGTCCTCGAAGACTGGGATGCACGGCATGCCGACCTGCGGCAACATGAAACGCCAAATCTGCCTCAAAAACAAGATCTCCTTCACTACATCACCAAGCGCGACGTACTCTGCTTCTGTCGTCGAAAGCGTAACACACTTCTGCGTTCTGGAAAACCAAGACACGGCGCCTCCGCCACACTTGACGATCCCCCCTGATACTGACCAGGTCACCTACGGTCTGCTGCCCTGCTTGCAAAGTCCGCATCAGCGTACCCCCGCAAACGGAAACCCTCTACAGTACCTCTCTGAAACGAAATACCAAACAAAGTGACTCGTCCTCCTCGTATGGCGTAAAATATCCATC